CCTTAGTGCAAAAAGGGGCGATGTTGGATTAAATTACTTCCTAATATACTTGATTTACGCTGTCTTCTAATTTTTTGCCGTCATTTTTTTATGATTTGTGAGCATTCCGAACCACTGGAAGGATTGCGAAAGTGGTTTCAAGTGCAATTTTCCCGAAAAGAAACCCTACAAAGTACGATCACTAGGACAAAAATGTTGGGAGCGATTGAGTATTTTCAACCGGAAAGTGTCTTATCGGGTTCCACCTAAAGGTAAACAAAGTCATAAAAACTTCAAACTCGACTTCTTGACATTCTCTACGTCTAACTTGTTCTAAGAGGGGACTCAATTGCCCTTTTCTGTTTTCAGCACATCATGACTCAAAACTTTTTTCTCTTCAAAATTTAGGTTGAAATTTCAGAAGCGTATCGTGCGTTGGAGTCATTAGAGGAGTACCATGCTCTTCTTATTCATCCCGGAGACGAAGAACTTCGTACAGCAATCGAGCGTGTCATAATAACGTTCAAGAATAGCCTGTTCCAAGCTCTTCTGGGTAACTTTCTTGCTTGTCAACGTGAATAGCCTGCTTCAATCAATATTAGGCAAATTATCGTCTGTTCAGACCTTCAAGAGTTCTATGAGGAAACGATACTCAACGAGCGCAAAACCGTTCCACAGAAGATTGCGGAAGCGAAGGACATCGCAAGACGTCTGGATATGAATCCTCCATTCGGTGTTACGGGCGCAAGCAGATCTGGAAGCATCTTTACGGCGACGCCATTAGCGCCCCTAGCAACTGCTGAGGTAGCGTTAGCTATAATTAGGTTGCTCATGTAAGACTGCGTTCATGCTTTGCATTAGCGGTGCATCAGCGTTTCGAGCGTACGCCAGCGCCAGCGGTTAGGGAAGTAGGGATATCATTTAGCGAACGGCAGCGTCTACCAGCACCCCGGAAATTTAGGGTATAGGTATCGATCTAGCGAGCGGTAGCGTCCACCAGTGTACAGCAGCGTTTTTCGGACACTTTTGAACGCTTGGAGTGGACGCTAGCGTTCGCTAGATCGATATCTATACTTTCCAATCGCTGGCGTATGCTCGAGACTGGACACTGGTGGTCGGGTGGACGATGTCGCAAAGTATGAACGCAGTTTAACGGTGCTGTTGTGCACTAAAAAGCGAAAACGGTTATAGAATGGCCTTGGAAGTGTCTCAAACTCGTATTCCTCCTCAAGTCATGTTGTTCATGAAAGAGTTCGTCATATGGTAAGCTTAAGTTCAACATTTCGTTATGCGCTAGAAGATGAAAATTACCAATTTGACAGACGAGTGACGGCGGCTGGCAAACTAGCGAAACAACCACCCGCAGCTTTGATGGGCCAGGAGGTGTTCAGAAACAGACAACGACTGTAAGAATTCGAATCTTGAAGTTATTCACTTTTACCAATTTTTCTTTTCCCTTTTTTCATTTCATTTCCTGCCATTATGAACTGTTCTACGTTGTTGATCGTATATCCATTAGTCGCGCCTCTCGACTAACAGAACCCTTGAGAGTCGATTCTTTGGCTACCCTTATCGCTCAGTATAAGGAGGTGTTCAGAAACAGACAACAACGCCTTGAGTAGGCGATTGAACTGAATTTGTTTGATAAGGCACAAATGATAGTTCCCTTGTACAACATGTGCTGCATAGCGAATAGAAAACAACCGCAGGCATGGCTCGAAACATAAGAGTGCATTCATAATTTGCCTTAGTGTTTTGAGCGTTTTGAATGGCTAAGAAAGTAGAGATCAATCTAACTTTGTGGTGTTTAATTGGTAGTTTTGGCTGCTTTACGCTGGCGAGCCTTACGTCGATACTGTTACTTTCCTAGTCGCTCAAAAAGCTGCCGTACGCTACGCTCGAAACGCTCGAGGCGCTGCTGCACGCTTGCAGTTCGAAGGCCGTGGCTTGCGAAAGGTTACGTTCACACTTTGCGTCAGCGTCCACAAATGTCCGTTAGCGTCCACCAGCGTCCGACAGCGACTAGGAAAGTATGGACAGATCTAGCGCTTGCCAGCGTCAGTTGACGTCCACCAGCTTCCGCCAGCGTCCATCAGGTTTGCCAGGCGAGGAAAGTGTGCGATTTAGCAAACGCTAGCGTCTACTAGCGTCTCGAAAGGCTAGGGTAGTCTAGTTTCTAGCGAACGCCAGCTACAGCAGGGTTTTTGCGGGCAGTTTTGCTCGAATTAGAAGTGGCTGCGAAAATGCTACCGCATGCTGAAAACGTTAACGCAAAGTATAAACGCAGCTAAGCCAGCTTACTGATTCAGGTTTATTCTGCTAACTGGGGTGGAGTGTCACAACTGTGTGCGCGGGCAAACGGGTGTGGATGAGCTAGTAATTGTTGGGCCACCACAGAATGGATAAGGAGATACCTAGAGTCCTGGTTTGGATTTCGTTCTATCCAACGAACCCTCCACTTATCTGTGGTCTTTTTGTTGAGATCGCTGTGATTTTAAACCCAATTACGCATTCAGACGGCTCTATGAATACCAAGCAGACGCTTGGTATTCGTAGAGCCGTCTGTCATTATTGGAGGACTACCTTAAAAGCGTTCAATTATAGTCTTTCTCTATCCTGAAAGTGGTCCATGGATAGCTTGTGCTTTTCCAATTTCTTTTCTTGTGCTTTTCTGCTATTTAGCAAATGTTCAGGTTAATGGAGTCATTGACAGCATGGGCAGAGCATGGGAAATTGAGGATGTTGTGCTGGAAAAGGGTACAACTGGTTTAGGATTCTCGATAACTGGAGGTTTGAACTTGCAGTCCAATTTTGTGACCCTTTTTGTGATTTTCCTTTCTCTTTCTCTTCTATCAAACTTTGTGTAACTGCTTAAAGTAATCAATTCTTCTAGGAACTGACCAACCGGCTGAAGACGGTGATACCTCTATTTATGTCACTAACATCATAATGGGTGGTGCTGCTGCAGCGGATGGTCGCATGAAGTGAGTCTCGCAAGTCTAACTGCTTATCATTTTCTTTTTTGTTATTGCTATTACTCTTTCTTATTGAACATCTTTCCAAAGGATCTTGTGTTTTGAGGAAATTCGACAAGATTTTGAAAGTGAACAACACTGAATGTGTCAATGTGCCGCATGAAGTCGCAGTTAATGCGTTGAAGACCGCAGGAAATGTTGTACGACTGGTGAGTCACCCCGCACCTAGGGTATGTTCCCTTCGGAAGAACGCGGAAAAAAAACTGTTCCCCCTTCTACTGCCTTCTTCACTGCCATGGAATGTGCGAAGGGGAGCATCAGTTCAGGGGTCGCTTTCTGCCTTCTCTCACCCGAACTTTCGGATGTTTTTTTTTTCAAGATAAAAGGAGGTGGGAGGGAGAAAGTTTCACATAGTGGAGCGTATCCTTGCATTACTGGTTGCATAGAACCTTAACTCGTTTAATACGGAATATATTGAGCACTCA